TAGTTGTACACCGGTTTCTTAGATGTATCTAGTTTAGCCATCAACAAGTAAACAACACTGGATTTGGTAATGATGACTATGTCGATCTTTTGGAGGGGGTAAACCATCTGTCCTTTTTCTGTGAGACCATGGAAGAGAGAAAATTCTGAAGCCCACGTCTTAAGAGAAGTTACTACTTCTACATATGGTCTTGAGAAAAGGGAGCCGACTGGCCAGGGGATTGATGTTATGGAGAGCGAGTTTTTATAAAAAAAAGAGAGGCCTAGAAAGAAAACCTTCAGGAAGAAGGAAAAACCTAACTTCAGCAGGGGAGGGGTAAGCTTTATATAAGAAAATTTATAGAAGAGAGGAGTAAGAAATAGGGAGGGGAAATAAAAGGATATGGGAAAGGGAAGTAAAGGAGAGAGGAAGGGGAAGAGCGAAGAAAAAAGTAAACAACTCAAAAATTTCCTAAAAAGGAAATTTTCAAGCACAGAAGGAGGAGTGGGAAAGAGTTTTTTTTTTTTTATAACAATATTTAATAAACAATGTGTACAATAGTCATTACAAAAAAAAAACATGTTAATATATGAAAATTAATGTATTATTACTTGTTGATATATTATTATTTGTTAATATATTATTTTTTGTTAATATATAATAATTATTTTAATGTTTATTTGAGTATAAAATTTTTTAAGATTTCAATATATAAGATAAGAATTTTTTAACTTTGTACAATTAATAAAAAATTTAATGTTCTTTTAATTCAAGAAAAATAGCAAAATTATCTAATTTATTGAATAAAATTATGTAAATCCTTTTTAAGTTATTATAATATTTAGGAAAGTATTTAACTTGACATATAACTGGTTATAATAGTAATAATAAATATTGGCTTTCTGAAACTTTACTATAAATTAAAAAATATATATTTTTTATTTCTTTTCTAAAAAGACAATATTTACTTAAAGATCTTTAATAAAATAATATCTAATATCTAAATATAAAATAAAAGATATTGGTCATTTGTTCTCAATATATATTTGTTATTGTTTTCTTATTTGTTTTTTTAAATAATTATATGAATTATAAGTTTTGTAAAAGTCTTATTTTTTATTTTTAGAAGTTTTCTAAAAAAAAAATTGAATGTGAAGTAAAAAAAAGTTTTTATTTTCTAATATTATATTGATTATTATTACTTGAAATTAATTCAATATCTTATAATTTAAATATAAAAGTATCAATTATTATATTTTATATTTACAAATTAACTTTTAAAAAATTTTAATTATTTAATTATTAGATTATTTTTATTTTTATTTATATTTTTAATTAAAATTTTTTTTTAAAAAATGACTTGTAACTTTAATTTCTATTTAATTTTTGATTTTATAATTAGACAAATTTAAAAAACAAATAATTTACAAGTTATAATAAATTATTTAATATTGAAATTTTTAGATTAATATAATAAAAATTAAATTTTTAAAAGAAATATAAATACTTATAACTATTATAATAATATTAATTAAAAAAAAAATTATCAATAAAAAATAAATATATAAATAATTATTTTATAAATCTTCAAAAATAAAATTTTTAAATAAAATTAAATGAATTGTTAAATATAAAATTATGAAAAATAATATTTTATTATAAAAAAAATTTAAAAATATAACTATAATTAAAATACAATAAAAGATTAATAATAAAGTTTAAAAATTCATTACTTAGAAAATTTTTTTGTAATATTTAAAGACTTGATCAATTAATAAAATATTATATTTAAATAAAAATTTAGTTTGTATAAAAACTTGTTATACTATATAAGTGATATTATTTATCAAAAAAATACTGTATATACGTATATTAATATTTAATATTTAAATAAAATATTAAGATTTTAATTTTATAAATACTGTATATATATTACGTTAAACTTATAATTATAATCAAGTAATTTTTATAAAGATATTGATGCACAATTAAACATTTTTCTTTTTCAGTTGCGGTTAATTATCGTCACTCCGGACCATCAAACCCGACAAGCGTCGGTGTAATGGCCGTCCCGATATCATTCACGGAACTCTCGCTAATGCGAAAGTTTGTGCAAACAAACGTACAAACAAATATGGATGTTGCAAACAAACGTGTAAACAAATATGCTTTAACTTCAAGTTGCAAAAAAGGAAATCTACCCAATTCTCCAACGGACAAAGTTTGGCTTGGTCGATCAGCTGGTTTGTATCTTGTGCAATTCTAATGTTCTTTTAGAACGTAAAGAGGTATCTGTGGAAAATCCTTTAAGTTTATAAAACCTAACGCTAACATTTGACCACCTAAGGTGGTAATTGTTTTTCCAAAATCTTGGCGGATTGATGAATGCTCCCTGATTTCTTTTTGTGACGTCTTCACCCCCGGGGTTCTACAAAATTCAAAAATTTTCAGCTTTCAGGGAAGACAAATAAAATTAATATGACTATAACAAAAAATAAAATTCTTTGTTAAACAATCATTTTACAAATGGTAATTCGAATTATCAAGATGAATCACTTTAAAAATCAATTTAAATATAGAAAGTATAAAATTAAAGTGATTTGTAATCTTGGTGAAAGTAAACCTCCTTGCTGGTTCGAATTTTCGGAAATGAACTCCTTGATAATTCTCATGAACGGTAGATCCCCTCCCCTGAATTCTCCACACGTTCCCTGTGGCTATATTATTAGGTCATAAGTTGGTCATAGCTTTTTAAGGGAATCGATCGAACCGACGTCGAGCATTTGGTGTAATAGCTTACCTCCTGATTTTTCACTAGGCAGGTAGTGGTAATAAGCTAGTATTCTCAGGTCTTTTTTTCAAATCTGTATTTAACCTCAACGCATGTACTAGACATTGCGCTTTTCGTGTCACCTCATTACGAACGTTTTATTGTTTGACGTCTACGAACATTCCATAATTTTCACCCTGACAAACGAGTATTCTGAAATGGTATTGCACCTTGTTTTCTTGCTATGTGCTAACTTTCTCATTCTAACCATTTAACTTATGCCAAATGTATTTAGGCTGGACACGATCCCGAAGAGCTTTATACGTTGCTCGAAAAGCTTGGCACTGGTTCTTTTGGAACGGTCTACAAGGCGTATGTGTTGTCAAGTGTTCTTCGCAAATTTATTTGCATATATGCGTTTATCTCACCAAATAACACCCCAAATGCCTATTTAAGCATAAATAAAGATACCAAAGAGGTCGTCGCCATTAAACAAATTAACTTGGAAGATTCGGACGACGATATAAGTGAGATTCAACAGGAAATAGCGTTGTTGTCACAATGCGACTCACCATATATCACTCGTTACTATGGCTCGTTTGTCAAAGGGTTTAAGTTGTGGATAGGTAGAATAATGATTTCTTTGATTCATTGCGCTAAATCACTTCTTCAAATGTTCTCATTTAACCGATGCATATTTACATTATATATTAAGTGATGGAATATCTTTCTGGCGGATCATGTTTAGACCTGGTAAGGCGCGTCTTTCTCATTCAATATTTTTATTTAAAAAAAATAAAAAATACTTATCATTACTTTCATTGCAGCTCAAACCTGGTCCGTTTGATGAACAGCACATCGCTATCATTCTCCGAGAACTTTTGTATGGCTTAGAGTATTTGCACATTGAAGGAAAAATACACAGAGATATAAAAGGTACCTTCCATCTTATCATTTTAATTCACCTACTATCTTATTCTTATTTCATTTGCATCCATTGTTTTTGTGTAAAGCCGCCAACGTTCTACTCTCTGGAGAGGGAAAAGTGAAATTAGGTAAGTGTGCATTCGTGGAAGCTTCGGGGTTTATCATGGATCTAAATTGCTTTTTAAAATGAATCACAGCTGATTTTGGCGTGGCCGCTCAGCTTTCAGCTAACAAAAGTAGGCGAAACACTTTTGTTGGAACACCGGTGAGTCTTGATTATTTGCACGTCATAATTGTTAATTTTGAATTGTTAACTGATTATAATTGCTTTTCAGTTTTGGATGGCACCAGAAGTTATTCGTCAGGCGGGCTATGATCATAAGGTATCATTGGATTATCTTAAAAGTCTTGAGATCTCAATCGTTGGATATAAACGCTATTTCTCTTTTATAGGCCGATATCTGGTCACTGGGGATTACAGCCATTGAGATGGCCAAAGGCGAACCACCTTTGTCAGAATATCATCCTATGCGTGTATTGTTTTTAATTCCAAAGGCAAAACCACCGTCACTTGGAGGAAATTTTTCTAGTGCATTCCAAGACTTTGTCAGCTTATGTCTGATAAAAAATCCTGAAGACGTACGAGATGTTAATCCATTCTCTCCTGTGTAATTCATTAGAGGATGATGCTAATTTTTTTTTATATGTATGTAAAATAGAGACCTACTGCGAGGGATTTGTTAAGGCATCGTTTCATAAAGAATGCGCGCAATACAATGCAATTACAAGAGTTGGTGGAACGGTTTAATACTTGGAAGGTGAATGGTTGTCAAAGAGATCCATCCATGTTTACGAGGACAATGTAATTGAATCATTCACCTGTTCGTTCATGCATTGAATCGCACTTTATATAATGCGTACTCATATCACGTTTTATTTAGGACGATGCAAAATAGAATTTCATATGCGTCTTGGGATTTCGAAACGATAAAGCAAGCATATCTGGATGGCACGATTCGACTAGAGCCAGAAACTTCAAGGGAGTTGCGACGACTATCGACTGCATCGAGGAATTCTACCGTAAAACTATCAAATATTGCTGTAAGTCTAATTTACCTAAGTAGTAGCACGAATAATTCTGCTGATTTTCATGAAGCATTAGAAATTCAAATCTATGTCTATATTATTTTAGAGGAATTCTTTCTTCGCAAGCTTCGATGGAGGAGTGGAGGAAAATACTTCTGAAAATCCTGAGGCCACCAATAAAAATGGTACAATCGATTCCCTGAATACCAGCGAAGGGTAGGCATCATATTAGCTAAAGAAAAAAAAAGCTCAATTAATCGTGTCGATTGGTTATATATACCTAATTATTTGCTTTCGCCTATTTAACAGTCTTAATACTGTGCGCGCACCGAGGCCTTTTAGTATAAATATTCCATCCAGTAACCGTTCTTCCGTTTCTCTTTCATCGTTCCCACGGGATATTCCCATTGTGGACCCGGTAACAGAGGAAGGAATTGTTGGAAGGCAATTAGTCAATGAAGTGATAATCCCATCAATAGAAAAGGTTTGGATTTCTCTCGTTAACGTATTCTTTTTATTGGTCGGAAGTATTGATTTCAAGAAATTATTATTTATTTATTTATAGATTAAGTCAAATGAATTGAGAGCTAATGATATCGAGGCGCTTAGTTTGTTTGAGAAAGGAATAGAGGAATTGGGTTATGCTAATCCCGATCTGGTCATTACCACATTGATTGAGATATTATCAGAATTAAAAAGGTAATTTTTTTTATATTTGTTGCTTCTTGATTTTTGCTCACTTTCATCTAACAAAGATCTGATTTGTTTTTCTAGCAATATTGAAGTGTGCGAAAAATTATCAGATCTGGGCGTAATTTCAGACGCATTTCTAACAACCCCCGAGTTAACCATCGATGAGACGTCATCGTCCTCCCTACAACCAAATGAAGATGAAGATGATTCTTTACCTGCCGAAAATCCTTCGGATGCAATGGATATTAGTGAATCCGAGAAACCTAAATCGCCGATATCAGAGATGATATACACAAGATGGATCGAACAACTCCGTATTAAATGGACATTAGGTTTTGGCTCTAGTTCATAGTGTCAATATCTTCCCAAGGAGTGATTATGAATTATTATTTCAAATAATGAACTATTTCTATTATGCGCAATGATCAATTTTTCATTGCAAAAAATATTGTTTTGGTTAAATGTATATATGTACTCTACTCACTAAAGCTTGTATTGTTATTATCCGTATCCCTTCATTCTTTGTTCGGTTTCTGCTCAAAATGCTTATACTTTTAATTAATCTTGTATATTTTTTTTTTTACAGTATTATGTTAAAAATTTTGTCATATTTTATAACTTACTTTTACAGATCCATAAATATTACATACATACATACATATGCGTATATTATAACTTTAATAAAACCTTTGTAAAATAGGAAGCGTGATGATTATTACTGTCGATATTTCTAATAAATATATAGTTAATTATATTTTTAAAATAAACATTTATTATTGTTATTTATAATAATAAGTAACATAGATATGCTGTGTATATTATTTTGATGAATTATTTTTAGATGAACTTGAAACTTTCTATTGTTAATAATAAAATGTATTGCTTTTTTTAATCAATAATATCTAGTTTAGCAATACTATATATTATGTGAGAACAATGTGTTGTTGTCTATTGCGTCATTACAATAATCCTAAGATAAAACTAACAATTCCACGTGTAACCATAAATCATCATGTGCGATTTCCAAAACTATGGACAATTAACGTTAACATCCTTAATTGGTAGAAAAAAATTTTCCTCGATGCTCTTTCCTAATTCTATAAAAATGTGTCTGAACTAAGGTACGGATATAAATGATTTCATTTTATAGGAAATGATGCAAATCAACATTTTCAAAAAATTAGTGCGACGACATAAATCGATTCAAAATCCCCTATCGGTTATTTCAAAGATTAATAAAATTCTTCAGTTAAAGAAAATGTCTGTCAATGTTAGTCTCGACTCATACGACAAAGAGCAGGTGAAACTGATGGAGGAAATGTGCATTCTTGTAGACGAGAATGATCGAAGAATCGGTGCTGATACGAAAAAAAATTGTGAGAATCTTCTATTAACACGTATTTTTTTTTAAAAAAATTATATCTATCTAAAATGCATTTTTGTCTGACAAATTCAGGTCATCTTATGGAAAATATAAATAAGGGGCTCCTCCATCGTGCCTTTTCTGTTTTCCTTTTCAATTCCGAAAATAAATTATTGTTACAACAACGGTCTGATGATAAAATTACATTCCCTGGCTTATGGACAAACACTTGCTGTTCGCATCCTTTGAATACCCCACTTGAATTGAAGGAAGATGATCAAATTGGTTGGCATCTATTTTGTCTCCTGTCGAATGTTCATTGTTTATATCCTACATGTATTTATTTATTCCGTTTAATTTTTAAAAGGTGTTCGTCGTGCAGCTCAAAGAAAATTAAATCATGAGCTGGGTATTAATCATGAACAAGTACCGCTTGACAAATTTTCATTTTTGACTAGAATTCATTACTTGGCGCCTTCTGATGGAATTTGGGGTGAACACGAAGGTATCTTTCATCATGCAGTAAATTACGGGAAAAACTTGGGTTAAATTCAAATTACTAAACTTCTTATTTTTGCCCCTAATAGTTGATTATATTCTCATAATTCGAGCTAACGTTGATCTCGAAGTTAACGAAAATGAAGTTAAGGCTGTGGAGTATTTATCTTTGGAAGACTTACGAAAAAGATTTAATAATCCCGGCGGTAAGTCCCAAAGATCACTCTTTTCTTAAAATTGTCACTTTTAAATTTACGCTGATTCATAATTTTACTAATAATAGATTGGAAATTTACGCCCTGGTTCAAACTGATCTCTGAAAAATTTCTTTTTGACTGGTGGGAAAAATTGAATGATCTTGACGAATGCAAGGATGTCAAAAAAATCCATAAACTGGGCTTTTAACTTATCTTAATTTAATTTGTGTACTAAGTTTTTAATTAATTTATTAATTTCCCAATTTATTAAAATTACATATACAATTCAGTATTAATCGATCTAAATATCTATAATTACAAGTGCACTAAATGTTTTTTATTAATGAGAGACAATTGCAAATGACATTGAGTGGGATAGTTGGAGTTTATTAATAGACTCCAACTATCCCACTTAATTCGGACTATAGCCCCCCCCCCCCGAGAATGACGTGTATTTTGCTTTTTAGGCCACGCTCGAGTGACGTGTGTTTTGCTTTTTAGGCCACGCTCGAGTGACGTGTGTTTTGTTTTTTAGACCACCGATATGGGATATTTATCAAGTGTTATATACGATGTATTTGTGACGTCGATTAAGACATGTGTCAGTATGACGGTCATTTTGCTTTTTACAGTAGGTCACACTTAAATGAAGTGCTTTTCTTTCTTTATTTTTCTAAGACAAATAAATTTTATATAAAAAAGACATAAAGACTCAAGGATCTTTGGTCAAGACCTAAGCAAGTTGAGAGTCTTTCTTAATTCTTGGTTGCATAGAGACAGGTCCGTAACATTTTTCCTTCATAATTTTTGTTTTTAAAAATCATTCCTTTTATATGATCATTATAATCACTCTTCTTTCTTTTCTTTTTTTTCTCTATATTATAAATCCATCTTCAACCATATATTCAAACAAAGTTATTGGATCTAATGTTTATCTTAACATAACTTTTACAAATTTTTTATTTCTTTTTTATAAAAAACAATACATTTCACTTCCTTATTCTATTACTATTTCCTTTAATTCCAAAAATCATACTTAGTTATATTTATCAAAAGATCAATATACAGTACAATCAACAATCAATCAAATTTCTTTACTTTCTTAATAACAAAATCAAACCTGTTTAAACTTGTTTTCAACCAGCTTTTTTAACAAAATATCCATATACTAACAATAACAACAATAATAACAACAACAATTACAATCAATTGACAACATATTGAATTGAAATAATATATAACTATATTTTGTACAAATTTCAGTAATCTTTAATCAAACAAGCATCAAAACAATACAACAAAATTGAAGCAGGTTTCATACCTGATTCATCAATATCTTAACTACATTATTAATTTACAAACCTTTTAATTTTTCACAAATATTATTAACAATAGAGTTATGATTTATAAGCAACAATGATACTATTAAAAAAAAAAAGTAATCTAAGCCTAACTAATATAAATAAAAGTAAAGTATTTTTATTATAAGTAAAAATAAAATACTAGAGAGTTGTATTCCATAATTTGACAACTTAAGCCACTACTCTTCTACGGCTATTAAAGTTGTACCTAGTTATTGAAAAGAAAGCCTTAAACTATATAAACATATTTGATTTATGTCTTATAAAAGTAATTATTAATATAAAAAATAATTGTATTCAAAACTTAACATATATTATTATCACTTCAATAACTTTTATTTTTAATTTTTTCAACTATATACAATTTTCAAGAAGTGATTAATCTTAACTTCAAATTAATATATATAATAACTTTATATTAAAAAATCTTCAACTTTCAACTTTCAATACATCTATATTCTTTCACTTATTATAATAATCTTGTTCTTGAATTATTTATTTATTTTTTTTTTTTATCGCGAACGAGCATTAAATGCGAGACTTTATTTAAATAAGAATATTTACTGTCATTACATTAACAATCTTTACATAGTAAATTAATTGTAGCCTATCGCAACAAATCTATTGAAACCAGGTACCACTACGGAAGTGGGCTCACGACAATAGTGCTGAATGGCTAATGCCTGTTCAGAACGATGATACTACTGCTGGGGTGAATATTGATTTGTTAGTATAATTGTTTGATATAGTTGTTAGATTTAGAATAGTATTGAATGTTGAGTTGCTATTTGCTCCTATGTTAGGTAATTTTGCAGCGGAAGTTTTTTTCCACTTTATTCCAGATGCTGGTAAAGTAGTTGCTGAGGTGGAACGTGCTTTCCAGGCCTTATATAAGATTTTGAGAGTATAGTTGAATATGTACTCTTTTTTCTGAAGGAGATTGAATGGATGATTGAATTTGCCGATTGCTATATTTAATAAGTTGTCGTCTGTTAGTTTGAAAATGTCGACGAAGTCATTAGCTTTGATGCTTTTGGAGTTGAGCTCTAATATTAAGTTTTTGAGTTTAATTTTCTTTTTGTTAATTAGGGGTTTGTTATGAACACAAGAAAAGATATGTGGTAGGTTCTCGGGATATGTATCGTATCTTAGGCACAAATTGTCAGGGTAAAGACTGGGGTAACGTTTGTGAAGTTTGATTCTAGTTGGAAGTTGATTTGCAAGAAGTTTTGTTCTGAATATTGATAGTGCTTTATATTTTGTTTGGTCAGATGTTTTCAATATGTTGTTTGCTTTGATAATGGTTGCTAGTTCCATGAAGGACGAGGGTTTGTAAGTTGCCAATTGGCTCAGAAATATGTCAAATAAGTTGGTGTAGTAATTTATAAATTTGATCCAGTGTGTGACGCTGGTAGCATGGGTATTATTAATTAGGAGTGAAAAAGTAAATATGGGTGATAAACATTGGAGAATTGGTGAATTGATAATGGGGGGAGTTGCGGGTAGTGGTTGGTGGTCTTTTAATTTGTACCAAGAGGTATTGATGTTGTTTGCTGCTATGAGAGTGAAGCATTCGTTGATGAGTCTGCTGTAAGGAATTTTGACTAATCTATTTAAGTACTCGGGGGTTTTCAAGTCAGGGATTTTGTTAAGATAAATTTTGAGTGATAAGTGAGTTGGGAGATCTGTGATTGTTTGAAGAAGTACTGGCCAGAAAATGCTCCAAAAGTTAGAGTGCAATGTATAGGTTAAAGTGTTGGCTGGTTTGGATATGAACAAAGTGTTATCAACTTTGTTGTAATACATGGATATATTAATGGGTTGATCAGATGGTGGTGGAGGTGAGATGATTATCTGTGGATTGGTTTGTGGTATGCTAGAAAAGGAGTCCAAGAGCTCCTGAATGTTATTGAGGAGGTGGTTTAAATTTGTACATGTGGTATGCCAAACTGACTTGAGATTAGTAATGTTAATTTCTTTAAAACATGGTTGGATTGGGCATAAGCATGGTATTATTTTTTTGTTGTCCAGCTGGTAGTGCAAGCCCTTGATGATTGATAAAGGAATGGCGTTTATGCGGACTTTAATAAGGTTGATAGAATTATTACACAGAAAGACCCAGAATTTAGTGTTGGGGTTATTGGGAAGAAAAGTTGAGTCGCCCTTGATTGTTGGAGATGTGGTTGGAATAGAGGAGAACCAGGTAGGAATTGGGCCAGGGATTATGGGACCTCTATGTGTATACATCTCTTCCCATGAAAGTTTAATATTTCGCTTGTAAATGTATGTATTATGTATAGTTTTGATATTGGTATAAAATAGAGAGAAAGCAGCAGATTTCTTAAGCCTGATGGTTAGTCCTATGGAGTGTTCGTGGTTATTTAGATTAAGGGGGCAAGGGAATGGGCAGATTCTAATGTTGTATTTTTTTGCTAAGATGGCTGCGGAGGTAATCCAAGACTCTTCAAAATAGTAAGGGAAGCAGATTGGGCAGCACCAGATTGCTTGTACAGCCTGTATTGATGTAATCTCTTTTAGAGTGGATGGAATAATTTTATGGTTGGTGAGTTTGATGATGCGGATTTTGATGGCAGTTAGGTCACAACGGTTTTGTAGTTTAACTGTGTTGAGGCCAGCATGAGAGTACAAGATTTTGTTGGAGATAGTACGCTCGACTTCTAGTTTAGCTTTTATAGATCTGTTTATTTGTCTCTAAAGAGCAGTTATCTCTCTTTCTGATGGCATTGCGGCATTGATTGCATAGTCTAGTTGTGCTGGTATGATCCAGTGGGAGGCTTGTTTAGTTATTGTGCCATTGCAGCCTTTTTGTGATGCGATAGCGTTAGTGAACTTTTGAATTTTTTCTGAAAGCTTAACAATTGTAGCAGAGGATGAGGATTTTTCTGATAGATAAACACCAAGGTATCTAATGCCTTCTTCATATGGTCTAGGGTATATATTGGCGCTTTCGATAGTAAGAAACTGATTTCTTTTTAGGTTTCTTGTCTTGAGGTTAGTGATTAATTCTGTCTTCTTTTGATTACATTTAATAGAATTTAAGAGCAGGAAGGAGCAGAAAATGTTTGTTGTCTCTTGTAGGGCTTGCATGCTTGAACTTGTGAGGGCAACATCGTCCATATAGGTGAGAATCTTGGAAGTTGCTGAGTGCGAAGCTATTCTTGTGACCATGGGATCATAAAAGATGGTCCATAGTAAGGGAG